TAAATCTTCTGTGAGGCACAAGAAGGATCCATTGTGATTTTTTTTCCACATGAATATTTTCAGCATCATTCATGGGAAACTTATTTAAAATTTTGAAGGGCAGAATTACACACACACACACGCATGCACAGAGAGAGAGAATCTTCTATTCTCTGAATCACTACACAAATAGCTGTAATGACCAGGACTTGGCTGGGCTGAAGGCTAGAACCAGGAACTCTCCAGGGGTCTCCCATGTGAATTGCAGGGTCCTAAGCACTTGTGAATCATGTGCTGTCTTTGTAAGTACATTAACAGGGAGGCGGACTGGACATGGTCTGTGGGCATTTGCACTGGGTGATGATATGGATGCCTGTGGTAGGCTGACCCACTGCAATGCAATGTGAACCCACATTGTGGGTTCTGTAATCTTCGCTTTGATGGCTGGCAGTGCTGCCTCTTTCTGTATCAAATTCCATAAGCATGTGAGTGTCCCTGGGCGCTCCTCTAATTAATTGTCTCATCCTGGAGTAAAGGCTCAGCATATGATGACTGTAGATTTTTAGTAGTTATTACTTATGAGTGTTTAGCCTGGAATGAGTCTTTAACTTTAGCAAATAATGTTCCTGCATCTATTTTGATGGTTATGTGGTGTTCTTCCTTTAATCTATTAACATGCTCAATGACACTGTGGATTTTTCCCAATGTTAAATTGTCCTTGACTTTCCCAGAATAAATTCAACTTGGCCATGATGCATTATCTATTTTCTACATGGCTGGATTTGGTTTGGAAACATTTCGCTTAAATCTTTTATATCTATATACAAGAGTGAGAATGGTCTGCCATCTTCCTTTCTTGCAACTCTTCTTGTCTAATTTTGGTATCAGGAATATCTTGGGCTTACTGAAGGAGTTTTTTTTAAAAAAGTGTTATTTTCCCCCTGATTCTCTGAAAAAGTTTACCTAAAATTGAAAATAGTATTTGAATAAAACAAATTCTGGATGCTGATGTTGTGTTGCAGCAAGTTTAGCTGCTGTTTGAAACTCCAGCATCACATGGGAGTCTGGGTCCTGGCTGCTCTGTATCTGCTCCACCCTCCTGCCGGTGCTCTTGGGAAAGCAGCAGAGCGTGGTCTGAACGCTTAGGCCTCTGCCATCCATGCGGGAGGCCAGATGCACTTCCAAGCTCCTGGCTATTATGGCGACGTGGCAGAAGATCAGTGGATGGAAGATTTCTCTGCTTCTGTTTCTCCCTGTTTTTCTTCCTCTGTAACTTCACCTTTCAAATAAATCAATCAATCTTCAAAAAATTCTATTTACTATGTAGGGATGCTGTTTCCATACACATACAATTTAACAGCCAAGGGGTAATCCAGACATTAACATTTCTCTCTGAAGTTAGTTTTGATAAACTGTACATTTGTAGGAATGCACCAATTTCATAGAAGCTTTCAAATTTAACAGCCATAATACTGTCCATGTATCCTAGGGGAATATTTATTTCTTTTTTTTTATAAGATTTATTTTTATTTTTTATTGGAAAGGCGGATATACAGAGAGGAGAGACAGAGAGGAAGATCTTCCATCTGATGATTCACTCCCCAAGTGAGTGCAATGGCTGATGCTATGCCGATCCGAAGCCAGGGTCCAGGAAATTCTTCTGGGTCTCCCACGCGGGTGCAGGGTCCCAAAGCCTTGGGCATGGGCCGTCCTCGACTGCTTTCCCGGACCACAGGCAGGGAACTGGATGGGAAGTGGGGCCTCCGGGATTAGAACCGGTGCCCATATGGGATCCCGGGCATGCAAGGTGAGGACCTTAACCACTTGTGCCACCGCGCCGGGCCCATAGGGGAATATTTCAAAAAGTCTGTGCAAAGTAAAGTGAAGATCTCCTTTAGGGGTGGGTGTTGGGGCCAGCTGCTGGAACGCTGGTGAAGGGGCCCACTTCCACACTGGAGTCTGTCAGTTCGACTCCTGGTGTTGCTAATCCAGGCCCTGAGAGGCAGCAGGTGAAGGCTCCGAGAGCTGGGTCTCCATTGCTCACATGGGGGACCTGCACTGAGCTCTTAGGCTCCAGCTTTGACCTGGCTCAGTCCCCAAACCCAAGCACTCTTAGATAATTGGGAGTATCCCAAACGGCATCTTACCTGCTAGGGCAAATGCCTGTCTACAACATGGTGAAGGTTCCCTGTATTCTCTCTCACAATGCTTTAGCTACAAAGTGAAAGCTCCATGAACCAAGAGGCTATTTGCTTTAATTGTTGCTGTATATTTGGAACTTAGAAGATTGGCTCAAAAAAAAAAGAAGTACAGGGAGAATCAATATAAGAATTTATGCTTCCCCATTAATTTCTTGTTTCTGCTTTTTTTTCTTGCTAAGTTCTGTCATGGCTTTGTCAATTTTATCGGCCCATTTCCAGGAAACTACTTTTGACTTGATTGTACAATCAGTCTATCAGTTTTCTTCTCTTCTCTATGTTCAAGAGTGTTTACTTTGAATTTATTTTAATGTTCTTTGTATATCATCTTATGCTGTAAAGTTGGCTTATTGGCTTTTTTGCCCTTCTACTTTATAACAGTTCAGGCTATATATTTCCCTAATGGCTGCAAATCCCACTAATTTCTGACACATATAATTTTTATTTTTACTTAGTCGCTAAATAGTTTTCAGTTTCAATTATTATTTCCATTTAGAACAATCAATGAGTTATCAGTTTTAATCAAACAGGTGCTTTAAATCTTTCTGTTACTACGTTATAATTGAGTTATACTCATCCAGAGAACTGTGATATGATGATTCTTTGAAATATACTGCAGTTCTATCTATGGTCTAGCACATGGTACACATTTATAAACATCCCATGTGACCTTCAGAAGGATACGTGTTCTTTAACTGTCAGGTGCAAAGTTCTTCATTTACCCAGAAAATCAAGTTTGCAAATTTTGCATCAATTTTTGGCTGATGATTCAATATTTGAAAAGGCCATGTTGAATTATTCCATTATGAAATCAGACTTGTCCATTTCTCTAGGGAGCTCCCTTTGGAACTGTGTGTGTATATAAATATTTACACATCAATATACATATTTATAAATACACACGTTAAAGCAGCATACAAGATTAGAATTCTTGCATCTTCCTGGTGAACGTTTTACACTGTGATTATCTCTGCCTGTACCTGTGCTTCGTCTGATACAAATGCAGTCACAGCAACTTCCTTCTGGACATTTACCCGGTGATATTTCCCTTTAGTTATTCAACCAGTGCCAAAACCAGTCAGTGTTTATTTGATTACTGATATATTTGGGCCCATTTTGATCATTTTTGACTTCATGTGATTTTCTCTGTCTACTTGGCATTGTTTGTGTTTAGCATGGTGCAGGACATCTGAAGATTTCTAGCCAACGTTAGCAGGTGTTCTGTACAGGGCAGGTTTTCTGCTCCTCCTCAGCATGCTTCTTAGTCCACCACACTCTTAGAAACGTCCCTGTCTGTTTTATCTGCTTTCCTTCAGTCTCATAACTCCAGATACACAGAGGGAGCAGCACAAAAGAAGGAACAACACGTGGTTTCTATTTCAAAGTTCTCCACTATTTGGCCATGAACACTGAATGTAGTAAACAAAACACCTTCTTTCCTTCTAACTCTACGGTTCCACTGCTGGGAAGGTGGGACACAGAAATACTTTGAAGAGAAGAGTTCTCTGGACATTGCTGTCCATCACGGTACAATCTGTATTTGCGAAAAACTGAGGCCAGCTAACACTCAGGGGAGGCGAGGCAGTGGATTCTGATAGAACTGGGGTGAGATGTTTCTTCCTGTCCTGTGACCAACACAGAAAACGCTTACGCTATGAAACAAATCATAGGCAAACCACCTCATTCAATGTGCATGTCGGCTGCAAAGAGGACAGAGAATGCACATGTGGGCATGGATCAGAAACTAACCGGAAGAAATCAGTTCAAAGAGAAAGCGAGATACCCAGTCTGCGTCCTTTCCAAAAAAGTTGCAGTTGTCGTTTATGGCAGCATCACATAGGCAATGGGTACACATTTTCAACGGAATAAATGTGCATCTACTTCTTGTCTGATAACAGCCCAAGGCAAATGTAGACCTTGAGTGCCCTCCCTTGCTCTGTCTCCCCGTGACAGCCGGGGTCAGTTCTTTACTCCTCCTGTTGTGGGTGGGGGACTTTGGTACACTCCTGCTCTCTGGGCTCAGCACGATGGAGTACCAGCAACAACGACTGGAGGTTTCTTCTAGGCCCAGAGCTTTCTCTTTCACACTGGCTTTGCATTGATGACTTAGGACCCTGACCTGCAGATGGCAGAGTGGAGACATGGCTGAGTTACCCCAGCTACCAGCCCTTGGGCCTGAAGCTGATCACAACTCAGTGAAAACCAGAGAATCAGTCAGCCAGCAACTAGATGCGCAGTTGCTGGTGTCAGGCACCCCGGGGATAGTCTGCTATACAACATTAGGTCCAGCAACAACTGTTACACCTGCTCATCTTCATCTTGCTGCAGTCCAGTCCTAGCATTGTGTGTGATCCCTAGGCAGCGATGATGTTCTCCCGCTTTCCTTGGCATTGGTTCTGGGAGAGTCTGTGCCTCCTAAGCTTCTCTAACCCATCGCAGCACCTGCCTCTTCTTTTCCACCCAATCATTTCCTTGCACACTCTTCTCCTTGAACTTGGAAACAGGAGATAAATGATTCATAGCTATCGCACCTGGCACACATTAGGTCCTCAATCAACTTTAAGTGAATGGATCTGGGAGCTGAGTTGAACCCAAACAGCTGAGAACGGACAGAAAGAAGAAAGGCGGCATGAGTCAACTCTAATGCTGCCTTCCAGTTATTTAGAGAGCTCGATCGAGGGCAGGAGAAACAGCCAGCAACAACACAAAGGATATATTTTTTTCTCCTGCTACACTGCCCTGGGGAGTTCTCGTGAACCCAACGTCCCTCTGCTGACCCCGGGCACATCCCCTCAGCTCCCAGCACTGCATGCCCCTCCCTACCTTCAGATCGGACACGTCTCTGTAGCACTGCTCGGAGCGGGTGTGGTCTGATAGCTGCACGTTCCAGAAGCAGGGGAGCTGATACACCAGGAAGGGGTTCTGCTTGATGACGGCATTGAAAATATCCTGAGGGAGAAAAGCCAAGGATGTGGTTACAGATGGCGAGGAGCGCTCAGCAGTTAGGTTTTGTCTTTGGGGGGGAATTGCACCTTTCTGGAGCAAGGCTCTTTGGGAGCCTTCTGCTCTGGATACAGGTTGGTCGGGCCACAACGGCGGAGGGGAGGGAGGGACTTTGGCTTGCCTGTCTTCTCCAGGAAACAAGCAATCCTGTTTGCTCAGAGGCTGGAGGCGCCCCAGTCGGATGTGACACTTGCAGGTTCTCCTGATCTCACAAAGTACCTTCCAGCAAGCTCCCATGGACCAGGTAGGGAACGCTTTTCCTGCCCCAGCTGGTGACTAATAAAATGAAGTCTTTGCCTCCCTCCATCCTGCTTCCTGCAGGAGCCCTGGGTTATCCATCCTGAGTCTCCTGGAGAGGAACCTTTGATGACAGGTGGCTGGCTCTGCTCATCCAGGGGGCTGAGACAAATGACAATTCCTCTTTGTTGGCAGCTCCTCATGGGGCTGGTGGTGGATGTAATGATGGATGCCCTGGGATTGCAATGGGCCACGGTGTCCAGGGTACACACCCCTCTCCCTGGAAGTCTAAGTCTAACTTGTTCTGGGAGGTTTCTCCATGTCTGGGCTCTACTCCAAGCCCTTGCATGAGGCCATGCTTATTACCTAGCTGCTGACAGGTACGCCAGCAGGTGAATTATGGGCCTTTGCACAGGAGATGGCTGAATAAACGATCCTCACTGGACATGGACACACAGTTGCCAGTTTTGGGGTATGCATTCCAGTCACTGTAATGCGACTTGAAATATGAGCTAGGCAGCCACTTTCCCCCTCGGCTACCTGAGTATTATTATTTCCTCAAAAATGCATTCATTACGCTCTATGTCATGTTTGCAAAGGAAATTGGGTTCTGGCTGCCTGGGAAATATTGAATAATAATGCCTAACAAACGGTAAGGTTATCCTACTGAGTGCCAGGCTTCCTCGGTGTGAGAAAATTTCTGCAGGGAGTTGACAGATGTGGCAACTGAACAGTGCACTAAAACCTGAGCTCCCTGTCTGAATGAGGAAAGGATAAAACGAGCAAGCCCAGAAGAATCTTCTTCCTGTCTCTAGCCATGCAGCCACACTGCAGCAAGGCCAACATGGGAAGCTTCCTCTACTCTCCAGTAAAAATGAGAAAAGTACGTGTGTGTGTGTGTGTGTCTACTGTGAAAGTCTACTAAATGAGCAGATGAGAGAACAAACGTGTGCACTAGCGAGCAGAGCTGTTTTCCAAGATGTGCAAGGAAGAGGGAGTTCCATCACAACACACAGAGCTTCCCCATGGGGAGAAAAAACCCATCTCCTTGATGCTCAGGAATAACCCAGGGCACCTTCCCACCTGGCCACTCACCTGGTCAGCTAAGGATGTGGACAGCATGCCCATGAGCTCCCTCTCCGCCGTCAGCCTCCACATCTGCTCCCACTTCATCTTCCGCAGCTTATCCAGCAGCAGGAGGATCACGCCTTGCACAGAGGAGCAGAAAGCCGCAGTGAGACAAGGCAGTGGACTCTTGGGACCATGATTTGCACGCAGAGAAGGCCTAAGCACCCAAGCTGCCCACTATGTCGTCCATCAGAAGTTCTGCAAGGGAGGCCTCACCCATGTGAGTGAACCAGCAGATGGAAGATCTTTCTCTCCTTCTCCCTATAAATCTGATCTACTTTTCCCATTTAAAAATTATTTCTAATCAGCCTGCTATGGATTTATTGAGTCTCACCCATGGTTGCCTTGGGTGGATGTGGGAAGTGGATCATGTGGCCTGGGGGCAGGATGTTCCCCACCCAAGCGTAAGCCTCCAGTCTACAACAATCTCCTCACAGAAACAGGTTGCCAGGGGCTGTTGTAAGCATTAAGTGCCATGGGCAAGAGAGCCTGGCACGGCCTGGGCAGAGAAGGTGGTGATGGATGCATTATCACGCACACTAAACTACACATGGAATCCTGGTTAGGACGCTCACTATGTGTTCCATACATTTTACAACAAGGATGTTCATAAAAGATCCGAGCTCAGCACTTGACACACAGGATGTGGCTTATAAGCATGGGTTTTTGGTCTGCATTTTCCCCTACAGGAATGACAACCTTAGCTGGCATAGCTGATACATGGGACCTGGACAGGATGTGCCATTTATTTTATAGACAAAAAGCCGATCATGTAGGAATTCATTCTGGCTTTGTCTTGACTGACTACTGACATGCTCCGGCTTTGTCTCTGTGCTCCTCAATTCCAGATTCCCAACAATGACGAGGTAGGACTGATGTCGGGTCTCTAAGATGGACTGTAAAAGCCTCCGGGTTCCTGGGGAGCCAGCAATAGCATCTTGTATCTAGCTACCTTGTTTCTCCCATTGAGAGCGAATGGGGGCTGGTGTCTGGAGGGAAATTCCCATTGCGTAATCCCTTGTCTTTTTTTCAAATGTCAAAACAACTCAATGTATTCTCAGGCTGAAAAAAAAGGGCTATCTATAAAGAGAATAGTATAAGAGTACCTCAAAATGCTTGTAAAAAATGGAATCACAAAGTGAGTTTAGGGGTGGGCACTTGGGGAGCTGTACAGACACTAATTGTGACACCCAGGTTGAGTCCTGGCTCCCCTTTTCAGTGTATGACTATCACACCCTGGGAAGCAGCAGTGACAACATACGTGGTTGGTTCCTACCCTCACACGGGAGACCTAGATCAGGCTTCCAGCTTTGGCCTGACCCAGCTCTGTCGGTTGGTCATGGGATTTTGAGAGGTGAGCCAGCAGGTGATGTCTCTTTGCTTCATTTTTTTTTTTTTTTAAAAAAAAATGATTGCTGTGCAAAAAAATGTTTTTTCAAAATTTATGCCTATAAAGGGCATAAAAGACATGTTTGGATCTTCCAATGTTTTTGCATGGATATGCCAATATTTTTGCACCCAAATAAGCAGTATCTTTTAATTTCATTTTTGCCCCATGAACATTTCCAAGTACTCTCATATATTTTAGTTTAGCTGAATGTCATGGGTTGGCTGTCTGCTTTCCAGGGCAGGTGCAGCATACAGGGAAAGCTCACAGCCCAGCACACTGGGAGCCAGAGAATTTTCCTGCAGGCCACTGCAGTCAATCTGGTGGATGGGATTGTTGCACTGGTGGGTCCCCAAATCAATCCTGCCCAGGATTCTTAGATCAGCAGAAAGGTCAGTGGAGAAAGCTCCAGGAAGCTGAAAAACCACCTTAGTCAATAGATAGCACAATGTTTCTAAGACTGTAAGAAAGAAACAGACTTCTCCAAATAACCTATTGGCATGGCACATACTTGGCGAAAAAGCATGTTCACTGTGTCGTGAAGGGAGCTTGGTGATGGGGGTAAAGAGATGAAACATACATATGCAGTTAGGCTGTGGAAGAGCGGGGAAGACAGACATCTGGACTTGGAAGTCACGAGGGCGAGCCGCACTTCTCACTTATTCTCTTTGTGTGTGTGTGTGGTTTGCATAAATCCTTCCCCCCATCAACCCCTTACAAGATCTTTACAAGAGATTTTCTCATGCTTAATTTACTGATGGGGGCACTGCGGGGGCTGAGTCCTGGGTCAAAAGTCCCTAGACCAGACTCGGATTCGACCGTATGCAAAATCAGTGCTTCTCCCACCACAGCACAAAGGCCAGAGCACTCCCTCCCACTCCCAGCAACAACCCTTTAAAGGCATGAAACTCCTGGCAAGTCTTCCTTGATGTGCTTTACTGTTGTCCATGCGTCACACGGGCCCTATGTAATTCAGAGGGCTATCACGCCTTCCCCTGGCAGGCTCTAACATTGAGCCCTCAGCTCTCTCAGGAAGAAAACAGACTACCTGATTCGTAGCATTTGCCAGTTTCCATGGGCAGGTGCACCCGACATGGGTAAATGCGAGGCAGCAGTGAGACGTTAGTGAACACTGAATTGAGAAGCACTTGTGCAGCTAGTGCAAGCTCTGTCCCAGCACACCTCACATTTGCGGGCTTTGCAGAAGCAGTAACATTCACCACCAAGCCATTACATCACTGCTTCTTTCGAGGAGAAACGAAAGAAATGTTTACAAATGTAAAAACCAAGAGAGTCTAGTGATGTACATAAATAGTGATTGATTCAAGAAAAGAGACTACTCTAACATGAGGAAAGAGAATTTCATTCAATCTCTATGCAAAATTAATTCTAACTAGGTTGGGGAGTTGCTTCAAAAAATATGTGTGTATATATATAAAGAAGGAGATAGCCAGAAGCTGCAAACATTGATGAAAGAAATGATAGTGCATTTTGAAGCCTGTGGAGGTAGACATGGCTGTTCTGTGGGTCTCTGGAGATCCCGCTGAGAATCGATAGCTTTACATGGTGTGAAGATGTGTGGGTCCCCAGCAGCAGGTGCAAACAGCACTGCCTGCCAGGCTGCTTGGAATGATGGGAGGATCTGGCACAGAGGACTGAATGCAAAAATGTAAGACCATTCTCTGGCCACCCGGCCTGTTCTTTTGTGTGATCTTAATTATGAACTATTTCTAACCAACAGAAACATATAGATGCCCGTAAAACAAATATCCACTACTTAGAAGTAATAAATACTGCTCTGTTGCTACACTGGTTATGAAAGAGAGAGTGTATTCCATGATACCCATCAAATGTTGCTTCATCTCCTTCTACCTCCTCTTCCTCAGAGGTATCCAGTCAGTACAGTGATCACGTCTCACTTCTGTGTATGTTTTTATACTTTTATTCTCTGTATATATGATAGGTCCTTTAGTGTGATCTGCAACTTTCATTTTATATTGCAGTTTGCCTTTCTTCCACCATTATGTCTGGAAGACCTAACATCAGTGGTCGAGATGCTAGGTGTAGTGTGGAAAGCTCCTGCCTGCATCCCACATGGGTGCCAGTTCCACTTCTGATCCAGCTTCCTCCGAATGGCCTTGGAGAAGCAGTGGAAGATGGCCCAAGTGCTTGGGGTCCTTGCTTTCCACATAGGAGACCGGGAAAAAACTCCTGGCTCGTGGCTTCTGTCTGGCCCAGCCCTGACTATCGCAGCCACTTGGGGAAAAGATAGAAAACCTCACTTTCTGTTTCTGCCTCTATCTTTGTAACTCTTTCAAATTAACAGATAAAAAGATCTTTCTAAAAATCGAACCATTTTAAAATTTCAATATCTACTTTAATCATGAAAACCATTTCCTTCGTTTTATACATGTACCATCGTTTATTCAGGCCGTGTGCCCATCAAAGAACATTTTGGCTATTTCTGATGTTTTTGTTGTTATAGATAGTCCAGTAATACAAATCTTCATTTGATTTACATCTCCCTGGGCACCTGCACTGACAGCTCAGCTGGGGTCCTGCCTCCAAGCACACACAGGGACTGGTTTCAGTTCAGGGTGAAACATATGGTGGCTGCTTTGTTTTGAGACAACTTTGGCTGCTCTATCATCCAACTCTCATATTTATGCTATTACATTATGAGTTTCGTGGATACCATATTTAAAAGAACTTCCACATCATTCACTAACTCAACAGCTACGTATGAAGCACTAACTATGTGTGAACGGATGGAAAGGTTTACACTTGTCTTCCTTATCTATATGTCCCACCATCATGGAATTTACTCAAAATATTAACTCAGGGGCTGCTCTTGAGGTGTTACGGATTAAGTTTCTGCCTATAATGCTGGCGTCCCATATGGACCCTGGTTCAAGTTTTAGGTGTGCTACTTCCCTGCTAATGTGCCTGGGAAGACCCATGTCCTTGAGTCCAGCATTTTAGCTTCCAGGACAAGCATTTGCTCTACATGGGCTTTTTGTAGCCACGCTAGAAGGGCAAAGTGCAATAAGGTAGTGAGTGCAGTGGGCCTGGAAAGCATAGCTCCGGGTTGAATCCTGATGATATTATCACTGCCAATATGATCCTGCAAACAATCACTCGTATTCTGAGTCTCCGTTTATCATTCTACATTTTCTAGATTTTAAAAAATATTTTATTTTTATTGGACAGGCAAATATACAGAGAAACAGATCTTTCATGTGCTGGTTTACTTCCCAAGTGGCTGCAACTGAAGCCAGGAGCCAGGAGCGTATTCCAGGTCTCCCACGCAGGTGCAGGGTCCCAAGGTTTGGGCCATTCTCTACTGCTTTCCCAGACCACCAGCAGGGAGCTGGATGGGAAGTGGAGCAGATGGGACATGAACCGGTGCCTATTGAGATCCCACACATGCAAGACAAGGACTTAGCCACTAGGCTATAATGCTGGACTAGTTATTAACATGGGGGACAATCCCATATTCACACCAAAATGATCCCAAGGACTGAAAAAGTATAACTCCTATATGTTATATAAGAGCCACATCTATGAATGCTAAATTAAGAGTTTGATAATTAATGTTCAAACACAGGAATTCTCTCACTAGCTGGAACTGACTGATCTAAAAATCTTCAACACCCTTATGTGTGTGAATGTGTGAATTTGTGTGTGTGTGAA